TTTCCCTTTCTTCTTATTAAATAAAGTGTACAGACTTGTTTTGCCACTCAATCCAGCCGACCTTTCCAATTGAGAACAAAATGCAAGATCTTAAACAGCTCTTATTTCAGAATGCTGAAAGGAAACCTAAGTAGAGCCTGTGAGGACAGTTCTCCCTTTGTTTTGAACAAAGGCAGGTAATGGGGCAGAATACCAAGGATGCTTTGAAAGTAAAGTTGTCCCTTTTGTTTAATTTAAGGAGTTGCTATGATTAGTTATCCATGGTACAACCGTCCCTCGAATGAGTGGCATCTATATTCACATCAGGCTTGGTTGTGAACCAAATGTCAATGACCTAGGTGCATGATAGAGAATCTCTCTGAATTGCAGCTTCTGTTTAAATTGCTCACAGCAACAACAAAAAGAGGAAATGTGTGGGTGGGAGGTATCCTCCCTGTGTATCTGGGGGCAGAAAGGACATAAATGTACTAAACTTTGTCCCTGGTATGTGTAACTTTCTAATTGCAAACATCTGTAAACATAAGTTTAAAACAAATAAAAATCAAATGGGGTGGAGAAGCAGGTAGCAGCAGTATTAGGTCATCTGTTCCCTGAGCAGGCTCTTCCTTGCTGAAGGATTGGAAATTACTGTAATCTTGATGCTACCCAAGAACTTTCCTCCCTTTTCTTCTCCACCTCCAATTCATCTGCAAGAAATGGGAGCAAAATGCTAGAGACAAAAAGCAGCCAGGAAGACAGGAGAAAAACAAAGCTCACTGAAAGAATGAAACACTTCGCGGCTTAATCATCTCTGAGCCTGAGTATTAACTGTCTAGGAGGTGTTTATGTGTAGAACTCGCTGTCTTTTTTTTCAGGTGACTGAAATGTTGAGAATTACTCATCAATGGCTGGCCAGATGGGTGAATTTAAATAAGTTCTCTTTCTTTGCATGCTAATAACAATAGGACTGTGGTTCCACCTACTTTTTATTTTATTTTGCTGTAATGTGGGAAAGAAGCTAGGATGGCTTGAAATTATCAAAATCCCACTGTACCTTGACATTCAGGGAGTGCATTATTCATCATTACCTCGGTGTTCTGCTTGCTTTTTTGCCTACACACTTTCACAGCCAGTGTTTGTCTCTCTTGGTATTACAAAGGGGTAGCCACTTGGATATTGGGTCTTAGCTCGGACTCTTCGTGCCACAGAGGAACACATACCAAGTCCTGCAAAAGCAAGGGGTACAAAGGGGAGGCTTGCTATCTGCAATAGATCTGATGCATACAAGGTTGCTTTCTAATTGGTTTCCTGGAGGTTACTATTTTACTGTATTCTTTGTGTGCTGAAATGGATTCTCTTCTATAAAAGCAGTGTGTTCATTTTCCAGTCTGTCAAGCAGGCTAATTGTAATTGCACACAGCTTTGAATATTGGAAGGGAGTTGTGAGAGGGACCATGGTGTTGGTGGGTTGCTGGTTGATTTGGGAGATCTTTTAATGTGAAGGGAAAACTGTTGTGTATTGCTTATGTCAGATCAATCAGAAGTCTGTACTAGGGGTTGTGTGTGTTTGTGGTAGATACTGCAGAACCCTGTTATCACAGTCATTGCATAAACATGTTGTGATTGCTGGTCTCCTGGATAGTGTAAGTAAAAGGAAGAAAGGAAGGGGAAAGGGTTGGGAAGTGTGTGCTTGGCAATAATTGTGAGGGTGATGAGTGTCAGGTTCATGCTCTTGTTGTTATTGATATGAGTGTAAGTGGGGAAGAAGAAGCACTAAGGAAAGACAATAAGTGTCTGGGGATGGCAGAGCTCAATGGATAATGTGTGACAAGTGAAGAAGTGTGGAAGGGAGGGAAGAAAGGTTTTGAGTGCATAGAAACCAAATAGGTTTAAAGGGGGTGTGCATCAAAAGTATAGGAAAGTCATTGTCTGCAGTGCCTTCTGCAATTTCAGTTCCTGTTGTCATATGATGCTCAGCAACTTCCTACCTATGCTGTCTTTTCACACCTTAGGGTAGACAGCCATTGCACTGGCACTAGTTTGACCCTTCACCTAATTAATTAAACTTGCTAATACCACAGAAAGTTGTTCATTTTAGCACCTCTGGGTCAGTTTTAAATCAGCTTGGTACATTTTTTGGTGAACACTTATGAAATAGGAGGGAGTATTTGGTATATTGAGAGGGAGAAGGCATGAATAGGATCTTCTCTATTAAACATATGTTTAGATCTTAAATCATCCAAAGGCATAATGTGTTGTTTTATCCTTAGAGTGTCTCCTCTCTGCAAATCTAGATCTGGGGTATGCTGTAGTGAAATGGGTTTTATTTTATCTTACAATTTCTAGAGGAACAGTCCACAAAAAGCAGATATATTTAGTCAAATGAGTTCACAATGGATTCCATTCCCTTCTGTCACTGGTTTTCCAAAAGAATTCTGTTCTAACCAGTTAGCGTATGCAGCCTGTCCTTTCATCTTGAGACTGTTTGGAGACTTATGAAAGCCAGCAGTGCAATCCTTTTGAATGATTTCCCTGTGATTTCAGTCCTATGCTGGCAGTATGTCACATCTCTCTTAGAGACAGTTTATACTATAATGAAAAGGTTGGCTTGTTAGCTCACAAAAACCAAGTCTTGTGTCTGTTCACAGGTTTAGCGTGGCGTGCTTGGATCAAGGTGTGCCTGGACTGGTGTGACCATATGTCTTAGCTGTTCTGGGTAGGCACGTCCCCCTAGAAGATGCCTGCTTCTCTTTAAGTTGCCCAGAATAATAGAAATCCAAGGTGGAGTGTCACTTGAAGTGGTTGTTTGCTTTTATGCAAAGCTTAAAGGCAAGATAGCTGAGTTAATCTTTCCTGTAAAGGCTCTGCTGGAGCCATCCAAAGACAGAGATATGACTATCTGCTAAGCAAGAGGAACATGGGATAAGAAATCATTGTGCTACTGGAAATTCAGCTAGATTGTGGGGTAAAACTTGCAATAATACGATTGTTTCATTTTGGAGATTAGATATTATTTAGAAATGAAAAAGCTGTTAGAGTTGTTACTCAAAGCTTTCTTAAAACTTGTTGGTTATGCTTTCTGTATTAAGAGTTAGGGCAATGATAGGAAGTCTCTGTTACAGGCCTAAGGATACATCTATCTGTTCAAATAGTTAACAGTATTGTTACCCTTAAAAATTATTTTTCCAATGGATATAATTGTTCTAGCCTTCATAGATCAGCAGTAAGCTGTAGTTTAATTTTTGAAGCATGTTTCTTCCAAATAGAATTCTATTTCTTAAAGCTAGACAGAGGAATTGATCATTTTCCAAACTTTTCTGCTTCTGCTGTGTCAACAAGATACAACTTATTTCAGACCAGAAACCATCCTGGAAAAATTGCCAGGAATTTGAAAGACATACATTGGTCTTCTACTGTTAATACAAATAATTTCCAAGATTGTGTTTAATTTACTTCACTAACCAAATGAACCATTTCTTCATGTCCTGGTTGTCTGAGTCACAAGATACTGTCAGTTACATATTTTTCTCCTGCTTCAGGAAAATGTCTTTGTGACCTGGAAAAATAAGTGAACAAATGCAAAGAGGAGAGAGGAATTAGTCATTGGAGTCTAATTCTTACCCTTTGGAAAAGCAGGGAGCCAGGTTAGCCCTGACTTTGCTTAATGAATTAGATCAAACATCTTATGTGGATGCATGGAAAGCAATTCAGAATTAAAGCTGTCACAACAGACTTGGCTCTGATCATCTGTAAGGATCCCCAGGCTACTCCTACTTAAACAGGCCATCTGAGTCTTATTGCAAATGTACCTGAAGTGCTGATGGTTGGTGGAAGACATGGTCAAGATACTTCTGTAGTTGGCAATAAAGTGAATAATGTCATAGTGAACGTATTAGCTGGCAAAAACACCTCCTCTGTGTGCAGATGCCAGCAGCACTTCAGACAATTGGGCTGTTTTTTCCACTTCAGAATTAGGAATGAATTGTAGAGGGAAGGCTGCCTTACATTTTGCTGTTGAGGAATAGCTTGATTAGAATCCTTGTGGATATCCCCCTCATCGCAGGGTTGCTGTCATGCAGACTGCTGGTCTACCATGACCCCTAGGGCCTTTTCAGCAGATCTGGTCCATAGCCTTAAGATGTCCATCCTTTCCACAAGCAAGACTTTGCATTTGTTTTTCTGTTTCATGAGGTTCCTGTCAGGCCATTTGTCCAACCAGTTTAGATCTTTGAGTGGCAGCCCTGCCCCTTGAGCTCACTGACTGATCCCCAGTTTGGTGCCATCTCCGATTCCAGCAACACACTTGTCAACGGGGCAGGTCCTGACCTCTTTGGTACTATCAGCAGTTATTTCATACTCTCTAGGGAGTGTGTGAAGTGTTTACCACTGCCATCTGAGCCCCACCGTCCACCCAGGTCGTTTTTACCCATCCAGCTGTCCACCTGTCCATACTGTAATGGCTGAACTTGGTTACAAGAATATAGTGTGAGACAGTGTGGAAAGCCTTGCTGAAGTTGAGGTAAATGACATCTGCTGCTCTTGAGCTTGTCCACAGATACTATCCACTGCTAGTGGAGTGATAGAAGCTCTTCTTGCTGCACGTGGTGTCACTTGCAACTGGCAGTTGTAGG